TAGTAAAGTACAGATACAGACGTAAATATACTAATACATGTCAAGGTACAAAGACAGATACAGGTGTGAGTACAAAACTTTCGAAATGTCAACAATACACAAACACTACTCAGACCTTAACGGCGTGTAAACATCATTTTGCCTGACAGACGTAGTGTAGCTTCGCCTGACAGGAGTAGACGCCAGGAGGTCGTGAAGGGTTGCTCGAAAATTGTGACTCGGAACCAGAGGAGAACAACTGAAGGTTTACCTAAATTGATTTGCAGCTCACCTGTTTTTATTTAGTGTATGTCACGGTTCTCTCTCTCTCTCTTTCTCTCTCCTTCCAAACCGCTTTTGACACACACGCACATACATACACGCACACTGGAACAGATAATAATATGTAGAAACGTCGTGGTTACCTGTTTTCCTTGTTATATTGGACACAAAATGACGTAATATTGTCGACTGAAAATAGAACTATCTTGATGCCCTGCTTGGCTGCCAGTGTTGTTCTGGTTCCTGCTATGTGACCTAGAAACATATGAGACGTTTACAGTAGTAAGGGCAAGTCACCACCACGATTCTCAATTTCCCGTTTTCTATGTCAGCTCATAGCCCCGGCGTTCCTCTATCAGATAATGATGTCAAGCAACGGGCGTACCCCTCCATCATGGTCCCATCCCCATAAAGTACAAGGGCAGAAAACATGCATACAGGTCGCGTATACAGATCGCGTGAGTGGGTTTTTTAAATCCGCCAAGTGTTGGAAAGTTCAGACCCAGCAAACAGAGACGGACCAGAGACGGGACTCACGAGACCTTCACGAGACGGACCAGAGACGGGACTCACGAGACCCTCACGAGGACTTGAACATAAACACACCACAGCACTGATCCTATCTCGAGGTTATTTGTTTACCACAATACCTGAGGGAACGTGAGGTGAAGGGAATGAGAATTACGTCAATTCAAACACTGGAGAAAAGAAAGTTAACAAAAAACATGAACAATATATATAAGGTACAAGAATTAGGGCATTTTGTTGTAACGTTGTGATGTTGTAGGCGTTCAGTTTGGTCTTGAGTATTGTTCAGAAGACAGGGTTTATTATGTATAGTGTTGTATATTTAACAGGAAGTAAATGATTCAGTTCGTCGCTTCCTTCGCCGTGCAGGACTCAGGGGTGACGACCACAGACGTGAGGGATAGATGAACTTGGTGTGGTACCTGAGTAGTGTGCGTGTTGGGGGTGTCCGGGAGGGATCACTCGTTACTTCCCCCTCACCATCACCATCACCACGACTATCACCATCACAAACAACAACACACACACACACACACTCGTACAACACCTTCACAGTCACCACAACACCAACGCAACACATCCACATTCTCCCATGCAACACCAACCCGACTCCCGCCCCCCAGAGCAACACAACAGATATATATTCTTTCACCAGTACCACCACACGAAACCAATACATCACCCTTACAATATTACCAGCAGCAGCAGCCAACATACCACACCACCACCACACTCTCGCTAGCCCCAGCCCTTACCACTACACCCAAGGAGGTACAGTATACTCCCTCACACCTCATAGACCCACACAAGTCAATACGAACACACACACACACACACACACACACACACACACACACACACACACACACACACACACACAAAACACCGTAATTTATGTCCTGAGTATGCCTAAAAATATACGTTCATGGAAATCCCTTCTATTTTAAGAAACAGTGTGTCGACTCACCCCTCTAAAAAAAACACACGACTACCCAGTCAGATTATAGTATTTAGTCTAGTAAGGGAACGTGGCGTGAAGGTGTACTGCTGGCTCACAGTTCAACCACCAGAGAAGACATAGGAGCAGGTTAAAACGAGCTTACCTGTGTATTAGCAAAGGTGAGGGGACGTGGGACGTGGACTATTGTTGACAAAAAGGTAAACGTGAGGAACAGGTGGACTGACACACCTGTACTGTACCTTGATGTCTTGGTTGAGGAAAGGTTGGACAGGGGTGTGGTGGTGGGCTTGTACAGTCACCCAGTTCTTGATCAGGAATATATTGTTTTAGTCTCTCTCTCTCTCTCTCTCTCTCTCTCTCTCTCTCTCTCTCTCTCTCTCTCGGGATATATAACTAACTATCTATCTTAATTAAAGTCATTCGATGTGTGGTGTTAGTATCGACGTCTTATTCTATCGTGTACGAAGACTCGGGGGAACCAAGAGGTGAGCTACATGAAGCGAGAGTCACGATTTGTTGTGTTGTGAGGGTGAAGGGGATCCAGGAGAGGTGAGGGGAGCCAGGAGAGGTGAGGGTGGAGGGAGAAACGCGAGGTTGAGGGTGGGGAGGAAGAGGAGGTTGAGGGTGGTGGGGGAGTGTTGGGGGTGGGGGAGAGTGAGTTAGGGAGGGGAGGGAGGGAGACGCCCCAGTTCTGCACCACCATCGATCACCTCCCGCCCGGACCAGGAATGACCCAGGAATTGCCAAACTTTCTGCTATATTTAGCCAAGTTCATTTTCCTAGATTTACTGCTACTGAACAACCCATTCCCCTCCCTGTCACCTCCTGTCTCTACTTGTTTTCTTCTCCACCCCTTTCCCCTTCCCTTTCCTCCTCTGTCTCTCCCCTTCCCTCTCTTCCCTGCCTCTCCCCTACTTCTCTCCTACGTCCTCCCTTCCCTCTCCCCCCTTGCCTCTCCCTTTCCTTCCCCCCCCCCTCCCCTTAATCTCCTTTATTCATACTCTCTGTCTTTCTTTGTTCTACTGCTGCTCGACCTCTCCTCTCGCCCCCCCCTCCCCGTCTCTCTCTCTTTACATGCGTTAAATGATACGTATAAGCATCAAACTGTGACAAGTTTATATTAACAGCTGGTGACTGTACTGTATATGTGAGTGTCCATAGAAATAGTATAAATAATTGTTCATATAATAGACTTACAGTGTTTGGGTGTATATGTGAAAACGAGCTTGGAAATAGTTGAATATATAGATAGTTTGTATATTAGACTGCATATGGTGGATTTATATGTGAGAATGTGTATAGAAGATGTTGTTAGATAAATAGTTTGCATGATAGACATTCATATATAGGCCTATATATATATATATATATATATATATATATATATATATATATATATATATATATATATATATATATATATATATATATATATATATATATATATATATATATATATATATATGTGTGTGTGTGTGTGTGTGTGTGTGTGTGTGTGTGTGTTCATGATCACTATTACAATGTAATACCTTTTATATTTGCTGTTAATCGCTGTCACAAATTATTGTGTAGTGGCGGTGCAGTATTATTAAAAACGGAATTGGTTCAGTATTAATGTTTTCTAAACCGTGAATATTAGTTGAAGCAATGAAGCCTCGGGCAAGTGAAGCTTGGAATGAGTAATATTTTGAGCAGGCGAAGCTTCGAGTAAATAATGGTTCGATCAACTGAAAATTTGAGCAAGTGATGCTTCGATGAAATGATACTTCAAACAATAGATGTTTCGAACAAACGATGCTTCGAGTGATTGATGCTTTTAACAAGTGATGCTTTAGAGAGAAGTTTTAAACAGGCGATTCTCTGAACAACTGATATATGGAACAAATAATGCTTTGAGCAAGAGATTGGCTCAAATAAGTGAATCTCCGAGCGAGAGTTGATTTAACCAAGTGATGACTCGGGTGTTAATCTCTTACGAACCAGCGAAAGAAAATGGCCCTGGATCTTCTGATTCAGTATCTGGTTATGTGTAAAACTTTACTCATAAAAATGTATTATGAGCTCATGATGCTGGTTGCCACACTCCCAACACCCCATAAACTCATCGACTCGTGTAACTTTTCACATAAACTCTGGTGACCTTCCCCGTCTCTCTTAGAGGCTTCATCAACACTGTCACCCGCCAACAATTGTATCAGCCAAACTCCTCTACTTTTCCATTCCCCTCTATAACTATAATCGACTTTTATTGTTTATTTCATGTGTGTTTATTATTTTGTTCTGGGGAACACTTGAAAATTCGTCACCCAGTATATTTCGTCTGGTGATTAAACATCGTAACGCTAATGGGGGTGGATAGGTTAGGTTAGGTTAGATTAGGTTAAACGTTAAGTTAATTTAGTTTATGTTAGCGATATATTTGGGTAGGTTGTTTAAATCATCAGGTGATATAAGTTGGGGTTATTTTTCTTCACGTGATCCGTTTTAAGTTTAGTTTATATTCCATTTAAATTTCTCTCAAACTGACCTTCAATTGTGTGATTTAGAGGATGACGTCGTTTTACTTATTACATAATGTCTCTACTACACCTGTTGCACTTCATCAGCCTCGGGTTCATTAGTGAGGCAGTACAGCAGTTAACATATCGTGTGCAGTGACAAGCATAATTTGTTTACTGTGTCTGTGTTATGTGACGTCATTGTGTGAGTTAGGTTTGTGAGTTAAGGTTACAGACGCATACACCCACTGTAGTCTGGCTCATGGTGTGTGTACTGCACCACGGGTGGTCATCACTCTGCGGTATACACGGGTAGTCATCACTCTGCGGTATACACGGGTGGTCATCACTCTGCGGTATACACGGGTAGTCATCACTCGGCGGTATACACGGGTAGTCATCACTCGGCGGTATACACGGGTAGTCATCACTCGGCGGTATACACGGGTAGTCATCACTCGGCGGTATACACGGGTAGTCATCACTCAAAGTAATCTGTGTATCTAGTAATTAACGAAACTCGAGGTATTAATTAATGTCTCCAACAAGGTACAGGTTACGAGACACAGGTAACGAGTTTCCCCAGTCTTAACATCTGTGTTCTTCACAATTTCTACCGGTGAACCTGGTAATTAACTACCAACTTTTCTTTCCCAGTAGGAATATGTATCACCTGTGTCTCACAACAGGTGAGCCCAGTAATTAACCAGTGTCGTTAACAGGTAATAATGACCACCAGAGACTAACACCTGTGTCTCCCCTCACAGGTCAACGTGGCGGTGGACCTCCGGAGCAACACTCTACCCTTCACCATCCCACGGCTGGGCACCAAGGCGGCGCTTGTGCCCCTCTCCCTCCCCCTCACCTGGGACGCCGCAATACCCAGGCTCTGGGAAATCCGTGCCCGCGTTGACGACATGAAGGTCAGTCCTACACGGCCATGAATGATCTTAAAATAGTCCATTATGGCAGGGAAACTATTAACCTATGTTAGAAAATGATCACCCATCGTTATTACAGTCAGCGGGTGTTAGGAAACTTGATCAACGGGAGGTCAGGAAAAAATCATGCGGGTTCAGGAAGTGTCACCCAGGGATAGGAAAGGTCACCATAAATCATTGACGCTCCAGCCTCACGCTGTGTCTATAGGACTAAACTTCATATCTTAATAATGGGGCGTTGTTCTTCCTTGGGTCTCGTACACACCTGGATATTCTTAATAGTAACCATCTTAAATAAGTCTCTAAGTTATTAACGGAGAGTGTATTATTAAACAATAAGTAGTGTAATAATATGACCTTGAGATCCAGTATCCCTCCTTCCACATAGTCTCTCCTTCCTCCTTCTTCTTAGTCACTTCCTTCCTCCTCATGTGCACTTCTCCATCTTTCTAGGTCAGCCGGGTTTTTTTATCTAGTTCATATCCTCCTGTCACTTCCTCATTCCCCGTTATGCTCTCATTCACCCCATCCTTTCCTCACCCCCCCCCCTCTCTCTCTCTCTCTCACAACAAGGCAGAGAGACAGTAGCTACTTCACTACAGACGCCCATCAACGAGGACCTTCACTTGTCTTGGCTTAACGAACGCCAAAGAATTTAAAGTCATTAAAACAACTTTGTACACTTTTGTTAGCTTAAACTTAGGAAGTTTTTGTTGTTGTTTTTTTAAGTCACAAGAAGAGGGAAAGTTCTTTGAGCAGTCCACAAAATGCTTTAATAATAATTGGATAAGTTTGAGCTTTGATGTGAACCTGTGTAGGATCCCTCAATTGCTCGTGATAATTTTCTCAAGGGCTATTTTGAAGCCCAGTACTGTTGTTGATCCCACAGCTTGAGCTGGTTTTCAACTGGGGAATATGGAACTGCTGTTGTTAAAAAGCAGTTGATAATATATTTTTCCTGTCATTTTCACCATAATACCCGTTCAGGGGGCTGGTCTGTCTAGTGTTAGGAGGAAACCGGAGGCCAGGAAACCTGTGATATTTGGTGTGGTCACACTGGGTAACACCCTTTTCATTTTCCCGGGTTCGAACCCTTGACATATTGGTGAGAGACACGCAGGTTACCGCTCTACCACCACCAATCAATAATAATAATAGTTGATGCAACGTAATTTATGGTCATATGTTAATTATAACCTGAATCTCCACTTCAACAGCTTCTCTTTATATAATATTAGCATCACTGAGAGAGCAATCCATCCTTCTACTACCCACACCCCCTAATACAGCTTAACGAGACCAATATCCTTCTCCTTCATCCTTGCCTGCCTCCTTCCCACGCCACTCACTCCCTCACCCTCCCCATTCCCGTTCTCCCACACCCATCTCCAGTTTCCTCTCTCATTCCCTCTCCACTCTTCCATCCTGTCTCTATTTCCTTGCACCCTTCCTTATCCCCCTCCCTCCCTCCCCTTCTCCCCTCCTCCTCCTCTCTGCCTCCTCCATCAATCTCAACCCCTCTCTGGCTCTTTCTGTGAAGTGTCTGTTGTTATGATCTGAAATTGTGTGAGGAGTCTCTCTCTCTCTCACTGCTCATATTGACTCACAGCTTCTCACACATCCCACCTTAATGAAGTGTACTCAGGTTGACCCAGTAGTCTTAAAAGGAAATAACTGATTCAGTTTTTTTTTATTGAAGTTGAAACTATTTACTTTTCTATTCCAAAAATATAATATAGAAGATTTTTTGTATTATATTAGGTAGAACATTACGGTGACTGGGTGTGTGTGTGTGTGTGTGTGTGTGTGTGTGTGTGTGTGTGTGTGTGTGAGTTTTATTTGTAACACAGAAGGGTTCTGTCGTGGGGTATTATGGTGATGGTTTACACAGGTGTAATAATTACGTAATAAAATCTCTTTTGTTTATATATATATATATATATATATATATATATATATATATATATATATATATATATATATATATATATATATATATATATATATATACATTTTACGGGGAATAGCTCACCCAGGCTCAGGTCATCGACCCACAGCGGGGCCGAGGGGGCGAAAAAATAAGAGTAAAAAGAAATTAAAAATAGAAAAGAAAAAGGTTATATTAATCTACACCACGAAGACGCCGGAAAAACAGTTTTTTGAAGTGAGACAGATTGTATGAGTATGGAAACACAGAAGAAGGCAGAGCATTCCACAGTTTGGCTGTGTGAGGAAAGAAGGATGTACTATAACGGGTTATTCTAGTGTGACCGACATCCACAGAGAAATGGTGGGCACCGCGGGCAAGACGTCTGTTACGAGCCCACAGCCTTACCGGCGGTACACAGGATGCCAAATCCACCGAACATTGCCCGTTAAAGTACCTGTAAAAGAGAGAGAGTGAAGCAACATTGCGACGAAGAGAATGGGAAGAAAGATTATCAACTCATGGAGGAGAGTTAATAAGACGAAATGCCTTTGATTCCACCCTATTTAACAGTTGGACGGAAGAAGAGCCACCCCAGATATGAGAGCAGTACACTAAGTTAGGACGAATGAATTCCTTATATACTTGAAGTAACTGCTCAGGAGTGAAGTAGCTACTGCATCTGTACAGCATTCTCAGCTTTCGGGAGGCAGGTTTAGCAATGTTGTGGATGTGTGGCTTCCATGACATATTAGAGGAAATGGTGAGACCTAGCATATCTATTTTAGTATTTGGCAACACGTCATATACTTATATAACCAACTCTATTTTTATTATATTTTATATAATTTATTATGTCACGCAGTTGTCACTAAAAGGTTTCATTACGTAATGTTCCACCCAGCAGCGCCTCACTAACCCTTACCCCCCTCCCTCCCTCTCTCCCAGGCCTCAGCAGACCCCGTGGTGTCCTACGGTGTGGTGTGGTGGGCGGCGAGGGTCCTGCCAACCACCTGGGCGAGGCGACTCCTTCACGCCTTCCACCGACGCATATCCATACAGTACTCCTCCCTCCCTGGACCTACCACTTCACTACTGCTCGGAGGGTAAGTAAACAGAGACTAGCCCTCCCTCCCTGGACCTACTACTTGGATACTGCTTGGACGGTGATGGAAGGTGAGTAACTAGATGGACAGACAGAAGTTCTACCTCTCGGAGCCCACTACCTCACTACTGCTGGGAGAGGAAGCAAATAGAGAGAGAGAGTTCCATGGACCCACTTACCTCATTACTGCTGGCGGACGAGAGTTTAGAGAGTGAGAGAGAGAGAAAGAGTGCGTGTGTGTGTGTGTGTGTCATCATGAGAGGAAAGTATAACAGCGTGAAAAAGGAATATGTCATCAGTATGGAGAAGTATGTCACACACACACAGAGAACAACACCAGTACGGAGAGGTATACTCGAGCAAGAGGTATGCTACAGTGCAGGACAGGTAGGTATGTTCCTGGGCCCAGTATCAAGTATATCCTGCTTTAAATTCTAGACAGAGTCCGTAGTTAGTATGGTATACGAGAAGCCTTAGCCCAGTGGTGGAGTATACCTGTTTATGGTTCACAGGTCACACACACACACACACACACTGGTGAATTGTGAAAGATGAATGGGACTGATATGCAAAACAGATGGTTGCGTTGACAAGAGACTCCAATTTCGCGACAGAAAACTATGAATGAAATATGAAGAAAATTTTGAACAAATGATGAGAATAAACATAAGTACGGTTGATGTTAGAAGTGAAACACAAAAATAGAGCCCGCTTGTGTGTGTGTGTGTGTGCCTGTGTGTGTGTGCGTGTGTGTGTGTGTGTGTGCATGTGTGTGTGTGTGCGTGTGTCACCTCTGAACTATAACCGAGTATACTCCACCACTGGGCTAAGGCTTCTAGTATACCATACCTAAAGAACCTTCTAACACAGGACCAGAGACAGTACCATGGCGTTGGTAGTCGGGTCTTCTTCCCTCGTTGCCTTACCACCAGACTGTGTGGAGAGAGTTACACCCTGGTCACCATCCTTGACTTCTTATTTAGTGTTCTTGGTTATAAAGACTTCCATCTTCCTTTTTCTCCAGGGCGTCCCTATTGCGGAGTCTCTGGTGATTTAGTTGTTCTTTAGGGTTAATACAAGGATTAGAGTGAATGGGTAAATTGATTATTGATGATGTAAGTTTACCTCCTACTACAGGTCCCCAATGTGTCAGTAATGAATCCTCAGGTGTGCCCCTTCACAGGTACACAGTGAAGCATATCTACAACGTGTCTCCGCCCCGTAACCCCACCCCAGTGAGCGTGACGGTATTGACCTATGCTGACCAGGTGCACGTGTCAGTGGCGGCCCGTAGGTCACTTCCCGCCGCCCACGCCATCACCAGGTCCATACTGAGGGAGTTTGAGAACCAGGTGAGTTTAGGTGAAGTATTCTATGGTAAAAACTCCTTCAAGCGCTCGGAATGTTGTCAAGTTCATATAAAGTTTACTATAAGGAATATCACCGTCATTTAATCATTCATTTATAGCTTCCTTTTGATATCAGTTCGTGTTCATATAAATGGTGGAGAGACGGGATCAAGTGATGACCCGTTTACCTGAAGAACAATACAAAAACCGTTTCCCAGATGTAACGTGACTGTTCAAACGACACGAAAGATTCCTATTTTTACCTACGTTCTCCTGACCAATGGTACTGATAATTACATATAAATTTCATTCTCACAGTTTACTTGTGTTTATGATAATTTTACATGTAATTATTATTCACTTTATGGAAGAACATTGTAGGTGTAAAAATAAGTATGGCAGTAGTTAGTTGTCTTGAGAAAACAAAACACTTGTACAACATCGGAGAGAGTATGACGAGGTGTTGTGTCGCGGGCAGTGTGTCCAGATGTCGGACCTCCTGGCCAACCGCCGCATCCCAGGGGAGCAGCGGCGCGGCCTCGTCTTCTCCCTGGGCGAGCTCAACCACTCTCAGTCCCTCGCTGACGTGAGTATCTCTGCCACTTCTACCCTCTTGTCTTGTTGCTCCGCCTCCTCCTTCTCCTGCTCCTGCTCTTCCTCTTCCTCCCCCTCCTCCTCCTCTTTCAACGTCATCTTCCTTACTCTCCTCCTCCTGCATAATGTCTAGTAGGGTGTGTTGTGTGGTAGGCTGTGTGCTGTGTGGTAGGCTGTGTGTTCTGTGATAGGCTGTATTCCGTAATACTGTAGGTCGCATTTAGAGATACTAGGATTTTTCTTTCTTTTTTACTGTAAGTGAATATATAGCACACTTTGTATAGACATGTGGAGATATAAAAACACTCTTTTGACAAGTAGAGATAAATTAACACTGTAAAAGCATACAGTATAATTATGTGGAAGTAACATATGTGCTGATAGATGTGGCAGTAACACGTCTCTGTTACACGAGTACAATATGTGTTGATAGATGTGGCATACAACGGGGCGTGTGTAAAAGAATTCAAGGCAAAACACTAATACCACTCAAAAGTTTACGATAAAGGTATCATTCACTGATATAATATAACAAGCAGGATTTAGTGTTGTTTTGATTCTTCAGCTGTTGTTGTAAACAATCAGGTGACACTTAAACTTGGTCATCTACATGTAGTTTACCTTAGTGTTGAAGATACACACAGCTGTTGTCAAAATAATTAGTAAGTAAATAAATAAATAAATATTAGCTAGATATCAGCATGTGATAATATAACCGCCTCTTACTAAGTTCTGTTATAAAAGTCCTTTGCATGGCTGACTGAAGATCAATGATAGGAACTAAGTCCATTTAACAAGGTTAGGAAGGAATGCAAGCAAATACATTAGTTGGACCCAACATGCAAGTTTGTTTTGTTTTTTCTCGGAAGTTGTGTTCACATGAGGCGTGGGGTCCGTGGCGCCAAGGGAATTGAGGCTCGGAGGCGGAAGTTCCAGGAGGTGGAGACATCATGTACTCACAACCTGGAAGTAATTGTCCCTGGAGAATGAGGCTCCTGGAAGTGGGGGCTCAAGAGGTAGAATTCTGAAACTGAAATTTCCAGGGGGTGGATGCCTCTCAAGCTGGACGTCCAACCTGGGATACTGAAGCCCCCAGGAGTACCGTCCAAGAGTTAAAGGCTTGAGGTGGAGACCCAGGGTAGTGGAGGTAAAAATGACATACAGTAAAAACAAAGGGCTGAAGGTATTAACTCGTGAATGGAGGACGCTTAGAAATTGAGTTTACAGGATGCTGAATACCTGGGATTGGAGTTTCCAGATGGCTGGAAAGTAACTGCAGTTCGGAATCCCAAAATATTGGATACCTAGAGACGATTACAGGGAGAAAAGCGTGGCGACCGTTCTTCCAGGATAATCAAGGCACTAGGGTGGAGATTCCCGGACGGTGGAAGTTTAGAAATGGATATACTGTACAGCTACTGGAGATGGAGACTTGAGGACGTTGGAGATTTGAAGACTGAAATTCCCGTTCCAGGCTGGAGGCTGTGAAGAGGGTGGTGGCAGGTGACTGTGTGATGCTGCCTATGTCTCTCCTGCTGTGCTCACTGCAGCTGCACTACTTTATGTCCCGCACTCGTTTTTTCTTGTATTTTTGGCTGGTTATTTTGCACATCGGTTTGTTAATTGCACCTTTTCCTTCCAAAGCTCCGCGTTTACTTATCGAGCATTTGTTTTGTATTACCGTTCATTCCTCCATTTTTTCTGCCTCCAAGTTTATCTCCTTGTTATTCTGCCTCCATAATCATCTCCTGGAACTTCTCGCCTAATAAGCCAGTGATGTCTCATGTCTCATGGTGGTACCCGTGTCTCGACAAGAGGTCACGCTTGATGTGTGCGCCTTTAAGTAAAATTCATCAAATGAATATTGGCAGTAATAAATTATTCCCTTTTTGAATAACCAACTTAACGGTGTGTTGATTACCTTCCGCTTATCTCTTTGCTGTCTCACTTCTCCGTCTCTCAATATCTCACCGTCAGTACATTTATAGAAGTAAAAGAGATATATAAAAGAGACACATAGGAGAATATACTACCTGTTGTTAATATCCCGTAACTGTGTACAGGGTCAGTCACACACAAGGCTTATTGATCTTATCTGATGATGGGTGCATGATGATGGTGGTCATGTTGAGACGCTGCTGTGTGTGACCCTACAGTAAAGGCAGCTCCTGTGGTTGATATCTCTCTCTCTCTCTCTCTCTCTCTCTCTCTCTCTCTCTCTCTCTCTCTCTCTCTCTCTCTCTCTCTACTGTGGTATGCTGCTTTACCTCATCCTTCGAGAGTCTTTCCTTTCAGATTTTGTCATTGATTGCGCTCCTTTGTTATCGAGCTCTTCACTTCATTAGCTTCCAGCGCTACATAAACCATCGTGTTTCCTTACGTCATTTTTTATCGATCTTGTCATAATACATCATCTTGATTATTGTCTCTTACACACACAACATAATTATGAAGTTTGTTTAGTGTATCACCGCAGACCTCTACTGTGTTGCGAGCTTGATTAACATGTCAGACCTCTACTGTGTTGCGAGCTGACGGTAAAGGGAAGGAAATCACTGGGTCTGTTTTCAATCAAGTGTTTACATGTTACCGTCCCGTCAGTTCTCACCAGACTGCGGGAGGTTGACAATACAGAGGTGAGAATGGTATGCGATGCCCTGATTAACCTGATGTGTATTTGAACCTGTAACGAAGGAGGGGAAGTCGTCTGCCTGTTGACCTTATATTTCTCTACCTACCTACCCACCTACCTACCCACCTACCTACCCACCTACCTACCTACCCACCTACCTACCTACCTACCCACCTACCTACCTACCCACCTACCTACCTACGTGCTTGTCTGTCTGTTTACTTAACTGGTCTCTGTGGATGATTGTTTATCTGCTTGCCTATTTGACTTTGTTCTGTCCCCTTGCCTGTCTGTCTGTGTTATGGATGTATGCCTGCATCCCTGTCTGTCTTTTCGTAATTGCCACCCATTTCACCTATTGTCTTCCATGGATGCCACCGCTTGTTGTTGTTCACACACACACACACACACACACACACACACACACACACACACACAAAAGGTGTTCTCCCAAGCAGTGAAAGAGTTGATGAATTGAAATTATTATCTTTATCTTCTGCTCCTATCTAACCAGCTGCACGCCTCTAACTAGCAGCATGTCTTAAGAAGCTGCACGTCTCTAACTAATAGCACGTCCTAAGCAGCTGCACGTCTTTAACAACACGTCCTAAGCTGCTGCACGTCTCTAACTAATAGCACGTCCTAAGCAGCTGCACGTCTTTAACCAATAGCACGTCATAAGCAGCTGCATTTTCACTGCACGATTTCTCAAATAATCCGTCACTCATAATAAAATAATTCCTTGAACTTATTTGTGTTCACTTTTTCTTGGTAAAGCTAAATGTCAAATGACCTTGTTCAAAACCTCTCCCATTAACGATCTCTTAAGTAATCAACCCAAGTAAATTTATTTAATTAACTGTCGTCAGGGATAATTTGCATGAAGTGACTTTAATGTTACTTAGGAAAGGTTTGAAATTTATGTGTTATATTAATGTTTGTATATTGGCTCAGTTTATGTAGAGAGATTGGGCGTTTGTGTGGGTATAGTGTGGGTGTGGATGGTGGGTATAGTGTGGGTAGATGTTGTGGGTGTGGGTATGAGTATAGATGGTGGATGTGGAGTGAGGTGCTGGTGGGTGTAAGTGGTGGGTGTAGACGTTAGTGTGGGTAATGGGTGTAGGTGTTGGGTGTAGATGTAGGATGTATTGACAATAATATGGGCCTAGAAAACAGGGCGTTAATGTTCGAAATAAGGCAAACAGAGTATTGGGTTTTATATCTGGAAGTGTAAGTAATAAGAGTGCAGAGGTCTCATTGCAACTATATCTTGCGCTAGTCAGGCCGCACCTCGATTATGCGGTTCAGTTCTGGTGCCCTTATTGTAGAATGGATATCAATTCACTGGAGTCGGTGCAGTGAAGAATGACGAAAATGATTCCGGGACTTAGAAACCTTCCATATCAGGATAGGTTAAAGAAACTAAACTTGCATTCCCTAGAAAGACGAAGAGTGCGGGGAGATAAGATACAAGTATTTAAGTGGATGAAAGGAATCAATAAAGGGGATATAGATAAAGTTCTTATAATATCCGAGCAGGATAGGACTCGTAGCAACGGATTTAAGTTGGATACATTTAGGTTTAGGAGGGAGATAGGAAGGAACTGGTTCACAAACAGGGTGGTGGACGAGTGGAACAAGCTTAGCAACTTAGTAGTAAGTGCTGGAACGCTGGAAAGTTTTAAAAGGAGGCTAGATAGATTCATGGATGATAGAGAGTGGTAGTAACTCTCGACAGGCGCTGCTATGCACAGGCCAACCGGCCTATTGCAGACTCCTTATTTTCTTATGTTCTTATGAATGTGGTGGTCGGGAGGGGCAACGCTGATGTGAGTGAGGGGGTGGGGGAGTGGATGGTGGGCACCAGGGTAGAGATGGGCGTAGGACTGGAGATAGTATACGGGTGTGGGTGTAGATGTAACTGACGGGTGTGTGGGCGAGGGCGTGAGAGTAGCGAGACACTAACCATGGTGGTGACACAGTTACAGAGTAAGCTGGGGCAGGTACAGGCGGAGCTACAGCAGGTGACGCAGCGGTACGAGGCGCAGCTCAGGTCGTCATTAGCTGAACGTCGTTACCACCAGCAGGTAACTAGTTAACGACCACCACCATCACTTAGATAACGTCTCCACCACTAGGTCGATAACCTTACTACCACCAGGTCAAGACGGGTCGTCATCACCACCAGCAGGTAACTAGTTAATGACCACCACCACAACGTAGATAACGTCACCACCACCAGGTCAGGTCGCCACCGAGGGCCGTGGCGTGACGGTGTACAGCAATAATAAGAGTAACAATAGTTAACTCCTTATTATTCTACAGAAATAATAGTTGTACATAAAAAAAAATATATATATATATATATATATATATATATATATATATATATATATATATATATATATATATATATATATATATATATATATATATATATGTGTGTGTGTGTGTGTGTGTGTGTGTGTGTGCAGCATTCTCAGTATCTGACTATACCCTTTCCACTCTAACCTGGCCCATAAGCCACGCCCCTCGTCTGTAGCTGATTGGTTCCCTGAGCGTCTTGCCTCCCTCTGGACTGCTCGTGTAGTATTTATATCGACCTCTTATGATAAATATTTAAAGTTTTATAACAGCCTCTCTGAAGTGCTGATGCCTTGAAATTATTTGCACTTTGATAGTTCAGATATTTAACATTATTTTAGATAATAACAGATCTGCTTGTGGACACATTTAGTTTGAATTTTCTATGAACTAATCAGCTGTCACTATAGAAGAGGGGCGTGGCTTACGGGCCAGGTTAGCGTGGAAATACTATAGTACTGTAGTGTGGCAGCTTATTATATAGGCACTATCATTGTGGTGGTGATACCTGTGTTTCCTTGTCCCCCACGTGACATACACACACACGACAGGGAACAAAGAACAGTAGCCACAGGCTGCCTCGTGCCCTGCCCTTCATATCACTCATGTATCATGTTGTTCTTATCATGTTAATTACTATCCTCCTTTGTCACTCTTTCCTCTGAAAATGTTCTGTCGGCTAGTTCCTGTATTGTACCTCCTGCCTGTTACACCTCCTTTACCGACTCTCTTTATGTGTTGTCATGTGTGTTATGTGTATGTATGTATATTTTCCTCTTTACTGATATAGGCGTGTGTGTGTGTGTGTGTGTGTGTGTGTGTGTGTGTGTGTGTGTGTGTGTGTGTGTGTGTGTGTGTGTGTGTGTGTGTGTGTGTTCGTTATGTCACCAACGTCACCTCTCATACTCCTCTTATCACCTGCTGATGATGTCACTTTCTTATCACTTGTTTAACAGTGAAACACTTGTCTGTTTTATATCTGTACCGCCTTCGTTACTCTGTTTCAGTGAGATCTTACCTGCGTGTCTCCACACTGTGCCGTGTCTCTACTGTGTCTCACTTAAGAACTTATTTCTAATTCCAAACTACAATAGTGTTTTGTACATTACTACCAGCCCTTCTCTTTCCTTCACTGTGTGTGTGTGTGTGTGTGTGTGCGTGTGTGTGTGTGTGTGTCCCTTGTAACTCACCCCAATTCGTCTATGCACTTCTTATTAACTGTATTCAATATGTGCCTCATACACCCAATATAACACCCCATATCACATAACCTCATCATTTCGTGTACCTTTGGGCACTTGTGTCTTTTTGCCCTTTTATATTTTCTTTATATTCACTTATATCTGTACGTGTATTCACTTGTAATCTGTATTCATCAGTAGCTGTATGCATCTGTACTTAGGGCGCCCATTTTCACCAGCAAAACAGCGATGGTGAATCTACCGACGGGGACGACGCCTCGAGCGGTGCGTCGTCAGAAGTGGCGTTGCTGAGCGGCGGTGGTGGGGGAGGTGTGACTCGTGGGCTAAGACCGTCCACCAGTAGGTACGAACTGGCCACCAGGGTCCAGAACCTTAAGGATGAGTTTACCGATCTGCTGACGGAGATACGACGAAGGAAGAGCGTCTCTGACAGTGGTGGTACTGTGGGTGTGGCCATCCAGACAGAGGTGAGAACATGACAAGGGAAAGGGGCATGTAGGAAGAGTTATGGAGGGAAAGAGAGAGAGAGGGGTCACAGTGGGGATAATTATGGTGGAATAGAAATACAGATATAAGTATACATAGAAGCAGAGAGACAGACAAATAGAGGAAAGATATGATGTCAAGAGTCGGATAATAGATGAAGCTTGTGTTAGTTATTCATTCTGTGAATTACTGAATATAAACAAAATCAAGGTAATTGCCTCTTGTAGTAATAGATGTCACCAGAGCCGTCCCAAGTGTATGGCAACCGGTGCAACCGCCCCGGGCCCCGCGCCCCTATCGCTCATTTCTCCGTCCAAGTGAAGCTACACAGCATGTTTAAGTTAATGATGATGTTCGGTAACTTGTTCCACGCATCCACTACTCTATTTCCAAACCAATTTCTACCTATCTCGCACCTAAATCTAAATATGTCTTATTTAAAACCATTGCTACGAGTTCGTTCCTGGTTGGATAATTTAAGGGCAGGTAAATTAATTCACGTGGTGCCAGCAAGATGTAGTTGTACACTGCTGCATCCCTCTAGGACTCATGGCCCTTATTGTCCACAGTTTGAGGAAGATGACGGGGAAATCAGACGTCCCCGCAAGAGAGCCCTTTCGACCACCTCTACCTGGTCGTCCAATTCAGGTCGTGAGGTGTCGTCCTGCATGGCTCGCCCTCTCACCACACCCACCCAACCTGGAGCACCGCCCATTTTGCCAAACAGGGACCACGCCAAACCCCTCAACCCCCCCAGAGCCCTTCTTGTTACTGATATTACCTGAAATCCACTAAAGACTGACTTCTTCAAGAGTACTACTGTCTAGGTACCTGAAGGCTCCTGCATGGCCATTTGGATGGAGCACTGAGTTTTTATCTGAAGGAGATTCCTAATAATTTACCTGAACAAAACTCCTAATTGCTTACCCGAAGACAACTGCTTAACGTATACTTCAAGAAGACCTCTCATTGTTTACCTAAAGAGGACAATTATTTACCTAAAAATTACTACGGACTATTTACTAGAAGACGACTGCTGATTGGCTATCTCAGGAAAGGATCCATAAGTGGTTGCATGTGTAAGATAACTAATTATGAACGGATTGTTGAAAGGAAAAACTTAGATTAACAAGGTCTGTAATTTAGAGTATTTCATGTAATATCAGGATTATTCCACATAATTCTGGAATTATAATAGCATATGGAATAGTGCATAAAAACCTTGCATAACTGTACTGTGAAGATTGCATATTATCTAGCCAGCATAATAATAATCGCCTTGATACATTACAGTACTTGTATTGCCATGATATCTGGATTCTTCTAGCATACAGGTAACTGAGTACAGTACATATGGTAATATATAAGAGATCTTGTGTTTTGCACCAGGGTGTGCTACTAGGCTTGATTTTCATGTTAAAATTTAGTTGAAGCGTTTTTTATTTAGTGATTATTTAAGAAGAACATGGGACAGATTCTTTGAATTACTAAAAGTTAACTTTGATCTTCCAGTTGCTAAAATAGGGCCTGAATATTGCAGCTAAAAGTTTGTGCAGTACATACCGTACTGATCCCATCTCTAGTTGTTCATTATGTAATTATTGCCTGGCCATAATAAGTAGGACATCTTATACTCTCCAAGACATTTAGTGCAAGTTGGGTGCTGTTAGCAATGATTCAATGACGAGATGTTGCATACAAATTGGAATACGTACAATAATTAATTATCGAACCTCTTAACTTGTGATATGAACACAACGTGAAGAAACTGCTTGGTGCAAACTGTAAGTTTATCTGCTCTTGGTTTTGCTTACTGCACGTTCCTGTGATACCTCGAGCCTGGAGAACCTAGTTTTGTTTTGTTTTGTTTTCATAATAACTTTAGCATAATATTTATTAAATATATCAAACCAGAATAATAATCACCCTTTTTACAAGTACGTATTTACATATGGAACTGGTTGTGGTGATTTTTTTTCATCTTGGTATTTCACTCGAAGTTACTGTTTTTACAAATATATCACAATTTATGTATTTTTATTTTATTCGTGTACAGTACTGTACATTTACAGAATTATGGCTGTTTATAGCTTAACATACCAACGAAATTTGGTTATTTTAACATTACAGTATTATGTTTGTAGAATTCTGGTTCTTTTAGTAAAAAATTCAATGTACCCGTACAGTACATATACAGTATTTGATTGAAAAAATATGAAAAGGATTCCTCACTCAACAAAGACTATAAACTACAGGTAATTCTAACTAACTTGTTCTTGAGTTTAGTGATCTATCCTTATAAAGCAGCATGGTTAAGTCTCAATACTGTACATGGCTGCCAAATTTAAAAAGACTTAAATTATGTCTATGACGTTGCATAATTTAAAAAGCTTGTTTTTTTTTAAATTGTGATTGATTTTAGTAACTTGCCTTAAGTAGTGTGGCTGACTATTATTACAGTACATATCTTCATGGTGAAATTAATGTAATGTATGATTATGATTATCATACCTCCAAGATTATTTAAATTGTTGAATTTAGTATCTTTTATTTAAAGGGATTAACTTATTTTAACATAAAATTTTCTAGTGTTTTATAGATTTTGGTTTTAAGTTGGCATTACTGCACAGTATTTAGTTTGACCGGGTGTCAGTGTTTACTGTACAGTATACTGTACAGTACTATAGTGATGTACTCTGGGAGACTTCAGTAAAATATTACACTGTACAGGTATATAAAATTCAGGCATATTATATGGTACATTCTTCCCTCCTTTACGTGATAAATACGACTAAATTTGCATTAATGATTAAATGCTATTATGTACAGTATTTATGTTTATGGTTGAATACAACAGTACAATACTGTCGTAAGTCCTTGTTTACCATTGTCCCAGACAATGTTGTTTCTTTATAACGTCGCTACTCTTTAGATACCCATGATTCCGACAACGTCCTGACCGATTCGTTATAACGTCATCACGGACTACTCTGTATGGTGCATCACCCTCTATCATCTTGACGCGTTACGCTCTCTCACGGAGTGTCACAGCGTCCCCTAGCGTCCCCAGTCTTTGTTAGGCTTCCACAGCATACATGCGTGCTTAAGTGTTTTTGCTATAAATACTGTACTGTAACCATTTGATATGGCTTCCAAACACCCATCAAGTGTTAGTGATGCTAGTGTTGTGAAGAAGCAACGCAAGACCATTAGCCTTGCTACGAAATGAAGGTTTTAAACCCTCCACACACTTGCTCCACCTCTGCCCGTCAGTGAGCACAATACAAAATTCTTTTATTTATTTATCTTCTTGAATTTATGTATATGTAGTGTATTATATGGGACAAAGGGAGGCTGGGGAACGTAAATAGCATATTTTATCTATTTCTTCTGGGGGAAATTGATTCTGTTAACGTTGTTTCCGTTAATGTTGTGTTTTTCATGAACGTAACCACGACGTTAAACGAGGACTTATTGTACTGTGTTATTTCAAAGAAGCTTTATGTTGCATCAGGTTTCATTTTAAAATCTTTCGCTGATAACAAAGGCTATCTCCTGGCAACAACAACAAAATTGAAATAACAAAACAGACATATGCAAGTACATGATATATAGAGTCTCTCATGTTACAGGACAGTACTGTACAGCTTCAAAACTATATATATATAGAGGTAGATAAATTATTTAAATGATTATTAGGAAGTATGTTATTACATTTTAATTTAATTTAAGAAGAATTATGTTTCTGAATTTTTAATACAGGGTAAGTTGTTGTTTGGAGTAAAAACTGAGTTAATGTTTCAAGGTCTTGGCCATTGAAACTTAAATTTATTACAAAGCAACATGTTGTTGTTGTTGAGATGGAGAGAAGAGAGCCATTTGCTCTGAAGATAATCACTGTAACATAAACATCAGTGACTGTTGACCCACCTCGGCACTTTCTTGGCTCATACAGGGTAATTACAGTACAGTATGTATGGATTTTAGTCTCCGCTAGGATGTATCTTATTTTCTGTTTATCAGTAACCATATTTAATCTCGGTTACTAGTTTTCTACAGTACAGTACTGTACACTCAGTTATATTAGCTTAACTTTTTTATTGTGTATGTTTCATTCCTTTATTGGTGTGTATCTAAAGTGCATGATTTCAGGTACATTCCATATTACTTTCAAAATTCTGTCCATTCTATGCATGATACAGGTACAGTATTTCTCTACACACACTGTGGTGTTTATGAAATTTGCATCTCCAATTTTATGTACAGTATCTTTTAATGAATTGCCCAAATCATTTTCAGCCATACTTCAACTTTTTGGCAAGTTACCTACTATAATACAGTACGTCTGTTTTGAGAAGACATCTTTAAAGTAGAGTAGCCTACTGTACTCTTTGAATTGCAGTATATTTACAGAATTTGGTCAAAAATACATAATACTGTAGAAGGAAATTAATGCGGTACAGTATCTCCAATCTACTATATGAAGTTAAAGTACTCTACATCATAGTGTCTGACAACAATATAGAATTGAAAACTCTAATTCTTTCTCATTGTCTCCCTCATTCCTTTACATTTACCTGTGACCAATTAACAAAAACTCTTTTTATCAGTTTCTTTGTTAATGACTGTTGTTAGTTTGGTATTATTTCTAGGCTGATGTTCATTATACAGTAGATTTTAGTCCTGTTTGTACCAAGGAATACTTTTGTGTGGTGGACGGTGAGGTGATACAGTACAGTGCTTGTAACGTGTACGGTGTCCACAATTTTGTGTATAGGTACAGGTAAGAATAAGTTTATACCTGGCCAATAATATGAGCTTTTGTCACAGCAATGCATTATGTACTCAGTGCATCAACATCCCATCCATTTGTGAACAGTATTCCACTGGATTATAGTCATTAATTGTGTGATCTTACGACAATAATGTAAGAACAAGGATTAACAATTAGTTAGATGTCGTCTAGCGAAAGTTAATGTGACATTAGGTTACACGATTACACCGCAGATTTTTTGTATATTTATTGTTAACATACGATATGTTGTTTCTGGAACATAACTTGTCAAAGTTGAATGGTCTAGATTCCACGATTTCACACATTTTATATTTGTGAAATAAGTAGTTCTTCACTTATCCATAAACTTACTCTGCATCATTTGCCTAAAAGACTATAGATTAGGAAATGTAGAATGTATGAATCGAAATTTTAAGTAGAAATCTCTCGAAATCCAATCGAAAACCTCTAGAAACCATAAGCACAATTAACATTCCTTCTGAATGATTACTAGACAAGGCAGTTGCATGTAACAGGTGACCACCACGTTTCTCTTCAGAGGGGTTTTACTATATTGAAGATGAGTAGCTGGCTAGAGCATGTGTAAGTCGTTCCCCAAGCCCTTCCTCTTATATGAGATTTTAGCACACACGTTTACGATTACTGTATTTGTAAAACCAATTAATTGGTATATACCCACTATTATACTACTACACTGAAGCACATGGGTCGAATACTTGAAAACAATGAATAATCTGCTGAAAACCTGAAGTGTCCATTGATCTTAACTCTGATGGATATTACTGTATATACTTCAACACTAGAGAACTTTTAAAATACAGCTGTTAGGGAAGCATTACTGATATTTCCCTTGGTTTACTTAAGTCTCTCTAATTCATTACCCAGTACAGTACTGACATGACATTTGACAACAAGCGAAGTCTCTAAGATAAACAAATGGTGAGATTTAATGGTTTGAGGTGATACATTATAGTTTTAATGCATTACCTTCGACATAGTGGTCAGAAGTGTTTATGGTGATGTGCACATACATACAAAGACAGACCCATATAAAGTACCTTTGTAGATATTTTAATGATGCTACTTTCCACATTTCCTTTTTCGGTGGACCACTAAAAATTTTCGGTTATAAGGGTCAGGATAATAAATCAAAAATATTTTAATTCAGTAGAACATGTATTTTACAGTAGCTATTTAATCAGTAGTAGAAACAGATCATTAATATTCGTATTTATAAGTAATGTACGAAAGGTGATGAAATGTGTGTGGCGTGAAGGTGTCAGCCACAAACTATATTGTCACCCCTTGTACACCATAGTTATTTTTTACTCATACTTAATTAGATATTCTGCAAGTGTAATCTGCATAATTAACTGCCTTCCTATGTACTATACTGCACACTTGTATTCCCATGTATGGCATGTGTATGTTATACAATGCATATTACCTTTATATAAATCATATTGATTATACTTCTCATTACAGAACATCTTTCTTATACTTGTAGTATATCACTGACATACTTGTTCTGCCATTGTGGACACTGACAGCTCTCACTGTTAAAATTTCTCTTGAAATCTGACTTCCTTATCTCACTACAATTTAGTATTACTGTATTTACGGAACATCTACATCATTTTCTATTAAACATTAAACTTAAGAATGTGATGTAGGTGTTACGGTAATTATCTCAGAAATTAGTAAAGGCTTATCAAAATCATCATAGATCAGAACCAAACAGTCATGTGTTGGTCCGGTTCTGTGCTCTCACACACCGGCAAAAACCACATGTCACTTTATTTCTCAACATCTGGCTCTACTGTGTTGAAAAGTTACGCCCTGAAAGTTTAACAAGGTTAATAATAAGGTATCAAGGCGTTATTGTCAAGCGATGGTGGTAAGTAACAGTAAGACCCTCCCTAACGACTACTGGTGAAAGCTACATGTCAAAATTGCTGACTTGGCCGAGTTTAAAGTTGTTGTGATTAAATGAAGATGACAGATTATGGTTTTTAAATTTGGAAAATGTTTGAGGATCATATTTTAGACCAGAGAAATTTGAACGTGAACCTCAGTTCACCGTGACAACTGCTGTGATCATTTTGTTAATCCTATGTTTATTCAGGTGTGAACATTTTGTTTAACCCTCTATAGTGTTAATTTTTGGTGTTCAGATATGAACATTTTGTTAGCTATATTCTCATTGTTCAAGTGTGAACATTTAGTTTGACCCTATTTAGTGTTCATTCTTGGTGCTCAGATATGAGTATTTTGCCATTGTTCAAGCGTGAATAATTGTTAACCTTATATTCAATGTTTATAAATATTATATTAGAACTGTTTTTGTGTGAATTTTGTTATCATATATTTAATAAGTCGTAAGTCTGAACATTCAATAAATCATCTGTTTGCTGTGTATTGTTTAAACATTTTGTTAATCTTATGCCCAGTGTTTATGTGTGAACGTTTTGTTGGTGTGTTGTTGTATCGTCAGCTGCCGACATTGTTAAATATGTTCATTATTTACATGTATTTTTTTCTTAACTTTATTATGAATTCACTGGTAAAGTTTACACCTTTTATGTACCTAATGACATTGTCCTATTCACTATTGACAAGTAAGTAATTTGCTTTATCCCATGTTTTCTGGTACCAGATGAACATTTATGTTAGTTAGCCCGGGTTTACTGTGATGCCAACATTATATTAACCTCACGTTTATGATGGTGTTAATATTCTTGTTAATCCAAAGTTGTGGCCATCTGTGAGCATTTTAACCCATGTTGTTATCACTCCATGTTTATTGAGATGAAAACATTATGGTAACACCATTTATATTATTAAATCTGTATTTATTTGGATGTAAATATTGTGTTAATCCCGTGCTTATTGAGGTATAAACATAAAGTTAACCTCATTTATTAAGGATCCCCTATTACGTTACTCACATGTTATAAAGCCTAAGCAATATGTTAACCTCATGTTATCTAGTGAAGCACAACACCATTGTTACTCCCGAGTACCGGCGATCTTTGAATACTTAACTCCCATGTTTAAGGTGTAAATATTTTTAATTGACTAGTAGACAGTGAAGGCTGTAAATGTTTTTGTTGACTTGTACCTGCTATTGATTCTTTTTTCCGCTGCGTGAGTGTACGACAACTCACCATTACGCTACATATTCCGGCAATACATCTACGTAATCGTACAGTATACTGTAGATCGTGATGTTGATTCCATGAGACAAAGAATAGGTTAAAAAAAATATTTTCTTGACGAAAACTCAACTCTGAACACCCTAGGTAATAAAACTATTGAAAATAAGTGAATATGGATTTTGTGTCCAGACTGGTGTCAGAAAAAAAAATCGTAAGTGCAAAACAATGAAGCTGTAGACTCGGTGTAGAGGGATCACTGAGCGTAGTGTTGATTGTAACGTAACTCACACCAGTGGAAGAAAATAATGGCAAAACAAAATTGTCTTACTTCTACAGTGCTCTTTGGTCAGTGATACTTGTTACGTTGTCCCTTATTGTTTAATGGTTCGAACATTGTTTATCTTAATTGTGTGTACTGCGTTATTAGGGTTACACTGACTGACGAAATATGTTATAGGACAAATAGCAGTGGGAGAGTGAAATCATTATTCTGTGCAAGAAGTTGAGTGATATGTTAACATGTTTTGTTATGATATTAAAAGTGAAAATATGCATAAATTTTAATATATAAAGAAAAAATAAAAACATGTACAATGATACAATTTGTTTTTATGAAGCTGATTAATGACATAATTTATAACCATTTCTTCTGCATTGTGTTTATACTTACCTAATTTCATGATTCATAATTTATCTTATAAAAAACATTTATATAACTTTCTCCTCAATGTATTTCTCCCTTCCCCAGCCGTCTCCAGGTACAGCACCAAGCTCTTTCCCCAAGGATATGAGTTCTGAAAGTGGAGTTATTAATGGTTATTATTTTTTTCATCTAGTTTGTACGCGAAATATTTCAGGTACTTTTCGTTCATGCTTGGCATGAGGGGGGAGGGGATGTAAATGTAAAGCACATTAAACCTAAGTTATTTACACTTAGCTGGTGTGAAGACTAGAGTCATAGGGTGGAATAAAAACAGTTAGTTATTGTGGAATATAAAACATTTCTGTACACAAAACGAAAAGTGTTATGATAAATATATTAGGTGGCGATAAGTGTACCTGTAGAGCTACTGTCACCCCTGGGGTCCGGACAAAACCCCCCCTAGGACAAAACCCTCTTGGGTTAAGTTAGGAAGTAAAGTTACGTTACGAAGTTAGGTTAGGTTTGTTCAAGGGGGTTTAGTCCTGGGGGGTTGTCCTACACTCGCTGTCACAATGTGGTCACTGGCTCAGTTTGCTTACTGTCGCCAGGCGGCCCGAGTACGTGTATCAAACCTGTTGTCCGAGAGAGATAATTGATTAAATTTTAGTATTTTTAGTGTAAATAAAACAATCCCATTATGTAATTAGCCCTTGAAATAAAAGCTGACCTATGTTATGAGAGTTATTATAAAACTCTTAACACTACTGCCTGTCACGTTAAATGGCGTATTTATGGCAAATTGAAACTGCCAGCTCAGTCTTGTCAAATTTTTCCCTGGCTTTCGTAATTTTCCTTAAGACGTCACAGCGATGTTTGCGATATTTTTATGTAAAATTTCAAGATTTGATTTAAAGGCTATACAGGATTTAAATCGGACTACGAAATTATAGATCTTGAATGAAGTTGAGGTATTGTCATTGATGTAGGAAAAACATTTTTGGGTCAGGGTATTTATGCTCGTCAACTGGGTGGCCGAGTTGTACGAAGAAACTGGTTACTGGAGATCTAGGCAGGAGACAGTCACTCTCAAGCTTGTGTGTTGGTTACTGGGTAACGATGGCGAGTGGATTATCTCAATCTTGGCAAAGGTCAGACCAAATTGCTGAGGAAGTTGAACGTCTGTGGGGTTGTTCGGTGGTTCAAATTAAGGGTCAACGGGTGTATGGACCTCGCCCAAGTTGGAGTGGACCAGTACCAAAGCGAGGAAGCGAGGTGTATGTCGTAAATCTTCCGCCAGACCTACTCGAGGATGAGCTTCTACCAGTGATGGAGCGCGCAGGACCTGTCTACATGCTACGCCTCATTATGAACTTCTCCGGCGCCAACCGTGGCTACGCCTTTGTTACGTTCGCCTCTCCAGCAATGGCGGACAGTGCAATAAAGTTGTTAAACAAAACCGAAATTCGTCCTGGGTGTTTCCTACGCATTAAGCTGAGCATAGATAACAACCGGTTGTTTGTTGCCAACCTCCCGAGGAAATTTACAGAAGAACAGGTGTTTCTAGAGATGCAGCGACTGACGGTGGGAGTGGTGAAAGTTACCATGCACCACGCCTCACTGGGGAGCAACTACGCCTACGCCTTCGTAGAATACGAGAGTCACAGCGCGGCAGCTCAAGCCCGTCGTGACCTCTTCGTAGCCAAACTGACTCTATGGGGGTCAGTTAGAATCATTCTCGAATGGGCTAAACCGAAAAAGGACGACAACTGCATCATGATGAGGAAGGTAAGGCTGTGATGACTTAAGCTCACATAAATATTCTTTGATGACTGGATTCTTATGGTGACCCGAGTCTTCCGTGATGACCGGAGTACAACCTTCCCGGTCGGTGGAATAGATGCAAGGGCATATGTAAAAGGAATGAGAGAGGTACGAGGAAAGATAAAGACGTCTAAGGAGAGACAGGTGAGTTGAGGAGAGATCATTCGCCTGTCTCACCATCCATACACACACTTGAGTCTTGTCGAGTTGTGTAGTTTGCTGGAGGGGGGGGTCCATTGTTGAATTAGCGCCACGAATATATTATATATACCCCGCGATGCTTTTGATGACCGACCGTCAAGACGTAGCGGAGATGAGAGAGCAATGAGATGGATAACCGCCAACTTTCCCTCCCTTCACCTCCCCTACCTCTTACTTCCCCCCCCCCCTCATATTTTCTTTCCTATCTCCCCTCCTTATCTCACTCCCTTCCTTATCTCCGCCCCATCCACCCACCCTTTAGCGTCAGGATGAAGGGTTGGGCAGTGTTGATGATATGATGTGAACATGTGTTTCTGGTGTTGATTTCATGTATCATCACCACCTGGTAATCCCACAGGGGTTATAAAACAATGGGGTAATTATTGCCGTAATTTCCTAGCCCCGTATTGATGGCAACTGAGATTTAGTTCCGTAAGTGTGGTATCTTTTCTCACCCTCTTCCCCCCATCGTTGAGACCATTTTCACTGACAGATTTCGGGCAAACACATTAAGAGCGTGAACTTAATACTGTATATGTGTATGTTTCGTAACTTGGCTGCGGAGTTGATTATCAGTAGTGTCGGGTAAATCTCCAGTAAGAATTAGCTAGGATTTAATGGGATTTATTTCTTAGATAGCAACAAATCCACGAAGAAAAGTTGACAGGAGGATTACAGCTTGAAACCAGCTACTTACAATTTAATAACGGTTATCTGTACGTGGTGAAGGAACAGTGGATAAAGACAAGAGGCAGTACAATGGTAGAGGTCGGGGTCAAGATTATCCATGTTATGGTACCATGAATATTCCTATTGAATGAAGATGTAGGAAAACACCTCACCGACTTAGTTAAAACACAAAACTAACATTAGAATATAGCATCAGAAATTCACTGAGCATCTAAATCTACTCCAGTTAGAAGACCAAATTAAGGTCAAAAATATTTTAAAGAGTTTGTTTGTGCTTCTCTTTTATGTTGAATTTCCTGTTTCTTTCCCAAAGTATTTCTATATATACCTAATATCCATAATATAATGTGCTGTATATACATATATAATACATTAATATGTACAGTCACCCAAAAAAGTCCTGTCGTGAACCATGAACCCCGAGATTCAGACTCTTGAATCCGAAGCATTTATGGACAGAATAATGTATCAGTGTCTACTGCTTCGGGTTCACGAGTCTGAATCTCGGGGTTCACGGTACACGACAGGACTTTTTTGGGTAACTGTACCTAACCTCCTCAGGTATCGTTTAAGTCTTTAAATCATTGGGGGAAATAAGCTGCATTTTATTCCTCACCCACAGATACAGGACATGGATATAACATGGTTGCCAGTCGTTAATAAAAAACACCGTTAAATTGTTGAGTTGTGGCTGGTCCACTGATATGTCTGGCCTCACACTTTCTTATTCACATTTGCGTGAGAGGTATTCAGGAACATTGTGTGTTTGGTTCTATACATGTGAAATGATATAGCTACATATTGCAAAAAAAATTTCCTACTTGACAAATTCTCATCAAATAAAACCTGAAGGACAAAAATCCCTGAGGGGGGTGTCGCTCAAGACACATTCCTGCCATATACAGTAATAATCACAAAGAACAAAATTCCACTAAATTAAATCCCCAAGAAAAAATTCAATGGAGAAAATACCATCTGTGTGTGTGCGCGCGCTCATCAAAGGGGTGATTTTAATCAAGGTTGGTGTGACAAATTTACTTCAAGTAATATAATTGAAGGTGATAACAGGCAAGAAAGTTGTTTACACCCGACCAGCTGATTCAGTATGACGATAATGACGTCAGAGACGGTCCTGAGTGATATTGATATTCAAACAGTTTATTTAGAAAGTATACAGATACAAAGTCGATAATAATAACAATACTGTATTGACATGGCTGAGCCAATTGAGAGCTTGAGCCACATCGAAGAAAACATTTATTTGTCACTTGTTGACTCATTGTTACATATTATGAATTTTATGAAATTTATTGTTAACTTTTAGTAATAAACATTACGAGAGAGAAATAACATTATCTAGGTCAATCATAGATTACTTTATATTGGTGTGGATTTTCCTCCACGAATATCGATATTTACAGTTTCTGTAAAATTATGTATTAGGGACTAATTGCAGGGAAGGTCTGCCCACCAAAGCCAATTTTTGCTTAGCAGCGAATAAGTTTTAATAAAAACTATTACCTCTCTCTTTAATGGTTCGTGTACTTAAAAATATTAAACTGGAAAAATTTAAGTAAAACTTTAAAAAGTTATCGCCATGTTGGAAAAAATGAATGATTAGTAAAGAGGAGCCAAGTAGACCAAAGAGTAGATAAGACTATATGGGAGGGGAGGAGGTCAAGGTGTAGGTTGTGAAAGTTAATTCAACTGACATGATGGATCAAATACGGCACATATTACACAGCCATAGTGTACAGTATTGGTGCTTTTATGCCACTACAGACGACCCAGGGTGAGCACATTGATATTATTTACTCGGGAATGTTAACACTTCACACATTAAGACCAATCAGTGCCTGAGAGACGCTGACACATGTTTAAGTTGCATTTCCCTTGTAGGAACATTTTTCCCCTATTAAAATATTTTACACCAAGATTACTTTCTTAAAGCGGAACATTACTTGTGTTGTTGTTCTGGTATCTCATGGAGTTGGTAATGGATGCTTGGTTAAAGAGAAATTACCCGAATTTTGATAAATTCTTGTCACTTGATAGATAACAAGAGGTACAGTACTTCAGTAAGACCGTATGTGAGTTAGTCATTCTTTTATCGTTGGCTTAGAAATCTAATCTGATAGAAAACACTTTGATGATTGTATTTGCAATATACAGTACGCATATATATATATATATATATATATATATATATATATATATATATATATATATATATATATATATATATATATATATATATATATATATATATATATATATGGTTATCATTATCGTTAACGCCTGTTTTCACCTGTTGGGACGATTGGGTACTTTGCGAAGCTGTGTTTACTTCACCTTGTGAGTCACTTTAGTCAGCCGCGACCACAAGCACTGTATGCAGTAGAAGCTAATTGTCCTTACATAGTTGCCTGCGTCACATACATTATAATTATTGTTTCATCAAGTAATATTACAAAGAATGTTACAAGCAACAGACAGCTGACAAATCCACTCAATGCTCGCGCCTTAAATGGTTGACCGAAAATGAAGAAATAATATCGTAGCTGAAAACTGAAAAAAGGTTTTGCATTTTGATTTTTTTTAGTAACACCAATGGACACACACACATAGCAGGAAGTGTAATCTTGCTGGTATCGTGTCTTCCTGTATGCAAGAATACCGTATTTTTGTTGCTGTCCTGAGTGATACCACTTACTGCCAGTGCTTCTGTTGCTACTAACGGCTGGTGTTGTTTCTGCATTTCTGCAGCTAAGTGATACAGTGTAGCTACTGTTATACTTTTAGGCACACGTACTGGTACAGCTGTTATCTATGTTTCTGCTGTTGCTGTTTCTGCTGCTGCTGATACCAATATTATTAGAACAAATTCTATTGCTGATGATTGTGTGGCTGCAACTTTTACTGTTTTTGTTACTTGGTGCTACTGCTGATTTTACTATTGACAGGATAACGAGAATGGGAGGGTGGGTGGTGTAGGGTAGGTGTCAGTGGATGGGCAGTGTTAGAGTGGATATCAGAGGGTGGGTGAGTGCCAGACGGTAGTGTGGCTGTCATGGGGTTGGCGGGGTAAGGTGGGCGTAAGGGTAGTCACAGGTCAGTTAACGCCAGGTATCAAATGGAAGGTTTCACAAGAGGCCTGCGGTGAGGGATCAGCAGTGAATGGTAGAAAACGTTGATGTGTGTGTGACGGCGTGGCTCCGAGCTGATAAGATAAGGTTGCCAGCTCACCGTCAGTGCCGGCACCGCCTCTATTCGGTCTGGAACTACCATGAATAGCGGACCCGAAAGTAACAGCAGCGCAGCCAGCTCCGTCTCTTACGACACTGTGGACCTGGCCAGCGTCCCTCACGTGCCACAAGCCCTGCAGGAGCTGATGCTACGCACGGGCTACCCTCTGGTGCATGAGAATGGTCAGCGCAAATACGGTCCGCCGCCAGGCTGGGAGGGGCCATCGCCTCCCAAGGGGTGCGAGGTCTTCATTGGCAAAATTCCTCGAGACCTGTACGAGGACGAGCTGGTGCCGGTGATGGAGCGAGCAGGCAAGATTTACGAGGTGCGGCTCATGATGGACATAAACGGCAATAACCGCGGCTACGGCTTCGTCCAGTACTCCTCCCGCCAAGAGGCCGAGAATGCCCTGCGCCTCAATAACTATGAGATCAGACCCAAGCGGTACCTTGGTGTGATGCGCAGCGTCGACAACAACCGCCTTTTTGTGGGCGGCATCCCCAAGAACCGCACGCGGGAGGAAGTGCAAGAGGAGATGAAGCGTGTTACGGAGGGCGTTGTTAAGATCATCTTGTACGCGTGTATCAACGACCGCGCCAAGAACCGCGGTTACGCCTTCGTTGAGTATACCTGCCACAAATCAGCGGCAATGGCCCGCAGGAGACTCTTCTCAGGCCGCATCCTTTTATGGGGCAACACAGAAGTTAAAGTTGACTGGGCAGAACCTGAACTCGACGTCGACAATGACATTATGTCGAAGGTAAGTTCCAGACCTTAAGTTGTGATCAATAAGATTGTTACACTTAACACCCGGGAGTCTTGTAATGCTTCACATTTTATGATCAAAACTTTTGTTGAGTTTTGGTTGTGTCATACTTCTCATTCTTAACCTTCAGAGTAGGAAACCGCTATTTCTCCCCCCCCCCCACACACCTACTGTATACTCTCACTGTCTTCCTGTAGCTCTGGCGAGGTAGAGTCGCTTGAGTCTTGTATAATTTATGATGTTATGAAATTAGAAGCGTAACAAGGTTGGAAAGTGGTGGCGTCTGTCACTATACTGCCATCTTCACAACAGCTATTTCCTAAATTTTTGCTCCAGAATATCACATTCACTGCTCCTGACTTCACCTCGTCACAGCTAAAGGTATATATTGAAGCTAACACAGGAGTTATAAAATCATAGATTACTAGTATAGTTATTGGTTAATTCTCTTCCAACACACTGGCACTGTACAGGTATTTTAGTATGTCTTTGGCACCGGATATTTTGCCCTAAACTCTATCACTACAAACACGCTATTTCACCAAGAAGCTTTCTCATTGGGTAATGTACAGCCTATGACCCCGGCACAGTTCCCAGTCTAACCATTTACCGGGAAACGTAACTTAACCTATAGCATAAATCAGTAATTTGTTTTTAACCTGATCCAACCTAATGCAACGAGACCCGGATTTTAGTGATGTCTCATTGCGTTTTTTTTTGTGGGGGTGGCTGTGATCGTTCGGCAGCCACTCTAAAAACTGATTTTATTTTCCCTCTCCAGCTGCTTAGCCGCCTCTTCACCAATACAAAGCAAATCTCTACTGGTTCTCGTTAACGTGTCCAATCAGCGCGCTCTATGGCAAAATGCATGTTACTCTAATATTTCCAATTTACTGAAAAATATCCACCTCATACGTTTTTAATTCCACAATATCGTATTAAGTACTCTCATGGCTCTCTCCTTAATGCTGAAGTGACCGAGTGAGAGGCTGGGTATGAGAGGGACTTCCTCTCCGTATAATCCGTGAGATGAGAGCGTCACGTCTAACGGACCAAGACATAACAGACTTTCCTATCCACGTAGCCCGTTAAATAGAATAACACTGTGGAAGACGTGAGTGGGATGGTATGGATGATGACTGTTGCCAGCTTTCGGTGAGTCCGATTACGATGGAGTGTCTATACTGTATTACCATGGGTGGGGCCGTGAGCGAGATCTCTGTACAAGGTGCCCATAAGTCCCTCTCTGATTTCAAACTTATATTATGTATAAACGGCATAAGATACTGAAATGCAGTTTTGGGGGCCATTTGAAAGAGTACCTATTCAAGTATTGTTTTTCACCTTAGCAAATGCCAAAAAAAAAATGCATTTCATTATCTTATGCCGTTTATACATCATATAAGTTTGAAATCAGAAAGGGACTTTTGGACACCTTGTACTTCTCTTTATTTTTTATTGTTGATAACTAACAGTATATACTACCGTAAAATTTGGGCTTAAAGACTTAATTATTGAAGCGCAGTAACAGACTTGGTTAGGTAAGGTTTGGTAAGGTTAGGTTAGGTTAAACATTATATTATGTGACACTGCCATACACGTACTAGCGCTAGGGGGTACTATTATCAGCTGATCTGCCAGGAAGTGGAAGTTCCGCTGGGTCCCGGATGTGATGGTATAACTCTGGCCACCGACACGCATCACACCTAACACACCTCAACGCATCACACCTAACACACCTCAACGCATCACACCTAACACACCTCAACGCATCACACCTAACACACCTCAACGCATCACACCTAACACACCTCAACGCATCACACCTAACACACCTCAACGCATCACACCTCAACACACCCTCAACGCATCACACTAACACACCACACCTAACAACGCATCACACCTAACACACCTCAACACACGCACCACACCTAACACACCTCAACGCATCACACCTAACACACCTCAACGCACCACACACACCTCAACACACACTCAACGCACACACACACCTCAACGCATCACACCTCACACCTCAACGCATCCACACACCTCAACGCACACACTAACACACCTCAACGCATCACACAACACACCTCAACGCATCACACCTCCTCAACGCACCACACCTCAACGCATCTGCACTTAACACCTAAAGCATAACACACCTTTTAACCAAAACATTAACCAAATAGTAACCGACAAGAACGATAAATTAGCACATACATTAGGCATCAACTTTTAACAAATAAATAAACCCCATATATTAACGACTTAATTTATTCCGTTGATTTAAATTCTTACTATTGTTTATGGATAATCAAATGGATGTTTTCATTATCTTACTGAATAATTTAGAGCAACAAACAAGGTAGGTATTCATCTCCAGTTATTGGGTTAAGTTAAAGTTGTGGAGGTTTTTGACTGGTTGTATTGTCACCAGAAGATTAGGCACTCAACCATATTTCTACTCATGATTAAACGAATATGGTTAGTGGTATCATGCTGGCTCCTGAATCATGATGGGAAGATGGTGCCACTGCCACGCCCCCTCCCGCCAGCTGACATACACTGTAATCCACCTTCTCGTTGTTACCCTTTATCTTTCTCTCTCATTCTCTTCCTCTTATATTTGTTCTCTCTCACTATCAGTAGTGAGAATCACCAGAGGGAAGACTCCTTTCATCATTCTCCATAATTTTTTTCTCGGTATTTTACGACCTGGGTGTATCGTCTCTTATCAGCTGACAGCCGAAATCCTCACCTTCCTTATCTGGCTACGTGTTACATTATTTAACTGTTCTCTTAACCAACATGGACTACCTATGAAAAGCCCACACGGGACCAGTCTACCATTGATTTATGCAAATGTTCCCAATCTTCATATGGGTATAAATATGCGAGGAAAATACGTGTTCCAGTTACGAGTTTGTGAGCGGTTAATATACTGTAAATTCTGTATACAAGATTGGGAGGAATTTACCCGATCTAGTCTTATAAAGGGTGTATTATTCATTAACTTCCCTCTGCTTTTCATTAATGTTTCTCTAAAAAAATAGCGTTATTTTTCTTAGGTCGTATTTTAAAGTGTTTTTATCGTGGCATTTAAATGCGGGAGGTTAAATGGTGCCACCCCCCACCCCTGTTACTAGCTAAAGTTTAATTCTCCAGTCGTCGAATTTATATTATATATTGGTTAATTTAGCACCCCGGGACTTCTGTATACCCTCTAGCATATAGGGGCTTTAAGTAACCTTGATACCACCTGCATCGACCTAGCTTTTTAAAGCCTCTGGTTTATGAAGGTCCTACCGAGGATCATTTATAGTCCTTGCCTCCTACCCCTTATCCTCATTAACCCTAAAACCCCTGTATCCTCCTTCACATTGGCTCTATCATTACCGGTACTAATTCAGATTTATTGCAGTGCGCTGTTACCATGTTATTTTCGTTAACGAGAACTCCCATAGAAATTCTCACAAAATGTTTACTGTACCTCTTATCATCCACACTTATTACTGGCTGTCTACACATAATTTACACGAGTTATGTCACTCATATCACCTGAGGCACTTTATCACCTTCAGCGCCATAAACTGATCTAGAGAGTGATTTTTTTCTCGTGAAATAAGCACAGTACCAGTCTAGTGTATTAAAGCGTATAAGTTGACATTACTTTTGTATTCTTCCTGATTGATATAAGGATAGATAACCCAGAAAAGGAAAATGATATCCGGGTCATGTACAGTATGTGACCTACTGGCCTTGGTTTGTACAAGTATGTTAAATTGTCATTTAATTTTTGTTGTAAAATGATGTTTAAAAGCTCTAACCGTTGTTTTGTAGATAAAGCAAGAAGAGTTGAACCCATGTAATTAATTTCAAAATTAGGAAACCGATTTCTTCTCATTATCTTGCTTTACGACACAATTTTAAAATGGTATCAATGTGGTCATCTCCGCCAAGTAGTTTTTCTCCCATTACGAACGTTCAGAGTCGGGCCGATTATTGTAAATGTCGGAACAACGATATATACCAGTTCCTTGTTTTAAATACCATCTTGCTATATCTACAGAATGCTTTAAAACTACAGTTCTTCATTTATAAATCGTTACGTGGCGGAACTTACGTATTTAGTGTATTTGGACGTATGATAATCGAAGTCCTGTGTAACCCTACGTGGCGGAACTTACGTATTTAGTGTATTTGGACGTATGATAATCGAAGTCCTGTGTAACCCTAAGGAAGAAAAAAAATATCGGGTGAGACGTGAGGGATTGTGGCGATAAGAGCGAGGCCTCATAGCTTCACACCACCTCTGATAACACGCAACCGCCTCGACCCCATTCCTGATAACCACCACACTGCTCTTGTCAACACTTGCAAACACAAGTTAGTTTGCTAAGGGTTTCACAAATATCCATCTGTTTAAATACTTTTTCATCGTAATATCTTTGCTTCTTATACGACAGACTACAAAAGGCTTCAAGATAGCCACCCTTATTGGTTAGCTTTGAATAAAAAGATATTCTTGAAATATTAATTTGGTAATGGACGAATAACACAGACGGCTAACACAAGGAGTTCGATTTCGTTCCTTTTCCACAGATGTATTTTGGGGTTTAGTTTTCTGTATCACCGATCATAAATCACCTGTGGTGGGCAGGGCATGAAGTATGAGGGAAATTGCTGGGTAAAGCACGGCGAAAAATAATCATATGATACTAAAATTATGTCTGTGCTTTGTATGCGAAGAAATTAATTATTTAGTGTAATTATTCCAGTAACTGATCATACTCTCACGTAAAAAAAAAATTAAATAAAAAAAATAAAAAATAAAAACGTAAAATTACATCATGGCGGCGCTTCAAGATTTTTTTTTCATTGGTGCCAGATACCAAAGTAAATTCTTTCTGCTTAATATGCCTGGAGGTGGAGCCCCCCTGGCTAGGAAGTTACTGTAGGTAACGTTAGTTGGTTTCTTTGGTTGG